GCCTGCGGCAGCCTACGTCAGCCTAGACGAGTAACTGTGTATTTAAAGTCGTTCATTATCCTTAGATAGTCAGACAGGCAAGCCTCCATAGCCCAATGCGCATGCATTTCTGCATTCATTCTCTCAACACTTCGACGACGACAAATCATCATCGAATCGATCGAGCTCGACGAGGAGATGCGACCGACCTCGGTATCGAACCGATTCGACCGCGAGACGGGCACGAGCGACCGGTCTATTCTGGAGAGTTATCCCGTGGCGCCGAGCCGCTCGCCCGCCGGAGACGGACACCGGTCGCCCCACCTCTTGGCGGTCTCGGCAGAGGTATGCTGCCGACATTTCGATCTTCACCCAGGCGTCGCCGCTTTAAACCACCATTTCTCTCGGTCGTGCTGACGCTCACCCTTCCAGTTGACGACGGTTCCTGACAACAAGATTCGAGACGAAATCGTCCAGATTTTCTGTCCCTGACGAGAAAATTTGGGAACAAGTTGGGGAAGTCGGGGAAGTTGGAACGGAAATTGGAGGGCTTAGTTTCCCTTTCATGCCCTTCCTCGTCCTTTCCCATACCTTCTCCCGGGCGGTCCCGTTGTTCCTCCGGTTGCTTGCTTCTGCGCCTTTGCTTCTTTTTCTGCCTCTTTTCGTGCTTTCTGCTCTGCTCTCTTCTTTGCCTGCTCTTCTCTCTTCTTTGCTTGCTCTGTTCTCTTTGCTTCTTGCGCCGTTCTCATTTCTTCCTCTTCTTCCTGTTCCGCCTTCTCTCGTGATGTCTTTTCTGCTTTCTTATCCCTTTTCTCCTCGTCCGCTTTGTTTTGTGCCTCCTTGTACTTAACCCAAAGGTTTTGGTCAAGATCACCGAAATTTACCACATACTCTCTGTGTCTGGGAGACCCCCGATGATCTATGTGTGAACTCTCGTCAGCGCTGAACCATATAAACATAGTTGTTATGTCATAGTCCCTAAGTTTTTTGACCCATTGGCCATATTTTTTGAAGAAAGCTTCATGAGAATCTTCATGATTCTTGCGATGCAATGTGACCTGATAAGCGCAGAAGGTCATTTTTTTCTTTCTCCCCTTCGGGACTTCCTCGATCAAGACGATTATCCCATCCAGGGTTTGGTAATTCCAATCGCTGGGGTGATAAACGACAGGGGTGCCAATAATATCGTCGCGAATAATCGGGATGGCGGTTGTGAAGGTTATCACCTTCATGGACTGGTCAAGAGAGGCCAGAGTAGGTAGCCCATTTTTTTTCAAGTAGTACAGAACGGCGTACTTCATGAAAAACCCCAGCGTCGATGGGTTGTTATAAAATGTCGACATTGCATCCAGAAACTTGGCATTGTTGATATTGGACGAGGGCATTTGCTACTGCTTTGCGGACCACACCGCAAGAACAGCCACCAGTGACATATGTGCATCTACCATTGACTTCGTCTTCGCTTCCGTCATCGAGTTCGTCTTCGTGTCGTTCTTCGCGCCCGAAGAAAAAACGATAGTCGACGAGGTCGGGTGTCTGGAAAATGACAGTCTGCACGCGAAGGCCGAGAAAGCAAGCGTTCACGAACTCGCAATACCTGAGAAGTTAGTTAGTTCCGTCGTCGAAGTCTGAATAACATACCTAGTCCATCGGACATCATTACCCTCATTCAGCGTTTTCAGTTTGACACCTTCGGCGAATATCACGGCTTTGTCCGCGACTTTCTGGAGTGGTGAAAGGTTAATCTTTCCACGTGCCACACACTCGTTCAACAGCAAAGGGATACGGCCCGTGAGGTCTTCAAAGTTCTCTTTGGCCTTGTCTTCCAGACCCAAGTCGGAGTGACGATCCCACCAGCACTTCATTTCCGTCTAAATAGAAGTTAGAAGAGATGCACTTGGAAGATCTGACCTGTATTGAGACATACCTCGGTCAAGCCGCCATAAACAAGCATGGTGAAGTTACTATTCTCCAAGATTTGCCCCCTGAGGTAGTCCTGATTATTGGCTGACGAGCTGAGAACTGCTGTGTGACGTGCTATCAGACGATTTATCCAGTCTGAGAGATCGCCCTTGGCCGAACGCGTGTGCTGGGGTTCGCCCTCCTTTTCGCACAATGCGTTCATCTGATCAATGACGAAGATGACATTCCTCTGCCGCCCCAAGAATATTCGTATCTTCTCCTTCGTGTCCAGCGTCACGATCTCGTCCTGTGCCGCCTTGTCGGTAAAGGCGAACAACAATGCTGCTTGAAAGTACAGAAGAGGATCCTCAAGGCATATACGACAATCCGGGATGTATATAACCCGGTTCTCTAGGGCTGACAGGTAACAGACGAGTGCTGCTAGAAGGTGAGATTTCCCATAGCCTCTGGTTCCGTAGACCCAGAGGTTTGAGTACGGACTCGCCTCACGGGCGGTTTTGAGCTGACGTAGAAGTTCTGGAAATATCTCTCTTCCCACATACTGCCAAACGCCTTCCTGGGTGATCGCAAATCGAGCAGGCGTCTTCAAAATGGTCATTGGAAACGGAAGTCTGTGTTCGTGCTGAGGATCGGAAAGTAGGGCGACGGCTCCAGGCAGAGCAAACTCGGAATCAGGAGAAGCAGAGTTCTCGTGAGAATATTTCGTATCGAGACCTGTGATGATCTTCTTAATTGCCTGCCTTCTATTCCGAATATCCTTGATCTCTTCTGGTAGTAGATTAATATTTTGTCTTTGGTCGTTGTCGCCATCATTGTTATCGTGGTGCTGTTTTTGACCTCGTTCCAGACGTATTCTTTTCGGAGACTTGCTGGTCGGTGATTCCTGTGTGACGGTTTCATCGTCCTTCCTCCTCTTTTTGTTATCCCCTGTAACGACATTAGCGAGCTGTCGTATAGTATATTAAAGGCGTAATTACCTTTCCTCTTTTGGCCGGCTGTCTGGTCCGATTGATCGTCTTGACGCTGTTAGCCAGTGTCCAAGTTGCATCCACAGTCTAATCTTACTCTGTTTACTGAATTCGCTCGCAAGAGCCGCAAGAGCCTTATAGACCCCCAGGGGCAAATGAATTTCTTTGAAAAAGTCTAGATCCTCAGCATACTTCGAAAAGACGTAGCCAGTGATTTTTGCCGCTTTGAATGTCACCATATCCTCGTTATAACGGAAAATGTTTGGTTGTATTTGCTGTATCCATTCGAGCAATTGCTCATCGTTCCAACTTTCCATCTCTTGGATTGTAGGGAATTTCTTCGAGCCTTGCTCAGCTTTCTGACTAGAAGCGCTCATTATGATCGACGTGAAGAAGGGCTAAACGAGGGAGACGGGGTGATGTGACGACTCGCAGGTAGGTTGTGGAGAGTTCAAACTCGCCCAAGACAAGCATACACGAACTGCCGTAGGATAGGGGTTCGCGAAGTTGGAGGTAGGGTCTTCGATCTGGTTATGAGGGTAGAGGGAGCAACTGTGTAGTATACACGGTAGAGAACTTGTCGATGGCAACGGGGATGATGGATTGATTGATGGGGAGAAGATGGAGGGATTGTTTAAGTAGAAAGGTTGAGAGTGCAAGCTGCCCCAGGTGTCACTGCTTGCGGCGACACGCCAAGCCAGCGTTGCCTATTCTGGCTAACAACGGCTACTCAGGGAATACATCGGGAGAGTGATAACCCATAACGACTCGCGTATTACAGCGATATTGCTAAACGCTATAATAAACTGTAGAGTCTAGAGAAGAGATATGTTGTTATTTTATGTAAACAAGAGAGCAAAACTGAATAAGTAGAAAGGGTGCAAGTTGCGACATTGCTAAACCAAATTCCTCACGTGGCAATACTAAGCCATATATCACGTGATTGAAAACAAACACCGCTAACTCCGGTCCCACCCGATCGCATACGGTACGATACGATACGATATTTATACACCCTGTGCGGGCTACCTCAGTACACTAGGGGCCGCGGACAGGATGTTCCACGGGGGTAAAAACGTAGCTTTTGTATTTTGGGGAGGCTCGCTGCGCTCGAGACATTACGTGATTGAGCTGGCCACATTGGCCTTGGCAACTCTTGGCGGCGCACACATGCGGCCGTACGACGATTCACGTGATTGCGACCGCTCGGGATCCGGAAAATCTATAATCCGACGACTCCGGCGCCATCGGATCCAGTCCACGGGCCAACAGCCAGGCCCTCGTGTCACGTGATTAGCCAAGCCTCCGGAAAATCAATAATCCGAGTATTACGTAATCATGTGGTTGACCTCATCGGATCCAATCCACGGCCCACTCAGGAGAGTGCGTCGGAGCCCGGAAAATCTATAATCCGACAGCTAGTCACGTGCTCTAATTGGCCAACCCCATTGGATCCAATCCACGGCCCACCCAGGAGTGGGCAGAGTGCGCCGTAGCCCGGAAAATCTATAATCCGACACCCAATCACGTGCTCTAGTTGGCTAACTCCATCGGATCCAGTCCACGGCCCATCCAGGAGGGGTGGAATGGCGTCGTAGCCCGGAAAATCTATAATCCGAGAGCCAATCACGTGCTCTAATTGGCAAACCCCATCGGATCCTGTTGGACGACGAGAGGTCGACGTTACAGATGGTTGCTCTGTGCAACAGTATAGCATTCGTGTGTCTATAAAAGGAGCCTCAACACCTCGATAGGTAGATAGGGAACAGAGCGCTCGTTCATCTCAAGTTGCACGAGAAGTTTGACATAATATCATTGTCGGATCTCCACTCTCGTTCCCTCGTACGTCCCCACCCTGACAATTTTGGTGGGAAATTGAATGACTGACTAGGGTGTGTGTCAGGGTGAGGACGTACGAGGGAACGAGAGTGGAGATCCGACAATGATATTACTATCCAATGCATTATGAAGTACAAGACGAGAGACAAAGATCGTGAAAGCAATGCAAACCCATCCTAGATACTTATAGCCGGCGGTACAGTCATGCTGCAAGGCTACCACGCAGGCACACAAGGCTATTCGACAGCCACAGTGGGCCTGCCAAGACCGTTCGAGGGGCCTCCAGGTTGTGCCATGACATGTACCATATGTCATGACAATGGTTATGTTGAAGAGACGATATGTGAAGGTAACTTGTCCTTTCCAGTGAAATAGCGCGCGTTGCCTGAACAAGAATATTGTCGCGTGATCAGAAAGACAAATTTGAAACTCGCGGGGAAAATATGTGGCTGCGGTTGTGGCTTAGCAACAGTCAGATATGAATTGTCTCTGCCCATCATGACCTAGCCTTTCTGATTGAAAAGCTTCACGAAGCTTCGCTCATGGACTACTCTTGCTGCTCAACTTTTCCGGGTCCTCAATACACTCAGCAAACCACCCATCAATACGCTCTGTAACCGTGGCAACTGCCTGCTTAAGCCTCTCGATGGCTAGGTCTTTCTCCGAGTTCCCGACGCCTTCTTTGGCATTAGGATTATTGCTTTTGTCTTGATCAGTCTTATCGGCCTTTTCCTCCAAACCAAGCCCTTCGATACCTTTTTCTAATTTCTTAACTTCCTCCTCAGTTTTCTCCCAAATTTCCTCGTTAGGGACCGCAAATCTAGGCGCGTCGTATTCTGTAGAGGTGATTATGCGTTTACTCGCCGCGGCAGCGACGTCTTCCAAGGTTGCTAGACGATCTGGCTCCTTTCGTTCGTCAAATCCAAACAGTTCGACCCTCAGCCGATGTATAAGCCGAATAACTGGAAATGAAGTCTTTTCGAAGAGACGTGATCGCTTACCGCCCATCCATGTATTCCAGGAAGTACCCACGATAAGGTTTTTTCTAGACGCTAATCCGACACCTTTTTCAGCTTCTGTGAGCTGGGATGCCCCAGCGGAAGCAATGCGTTTTAGTTCCTTCGCACCTTCAGGAGTCCGATTCAGTTCTCCAAAGAGCAAAACCCAAAAGACACTCTCAATGTCATGCCATGGGTTGTGCCGAGAGTGTTCCCCCATCAGAATGTTGATTGCCATGTAAAGGTAAGTGCCAGTGCGCCAGGGAGCTCCGGAATGGGGGTCTCCATATACGCAAGCCATGTCGAGGTCAATCAGCCGTCCGGGTGGAGGGGCGCCCTCCCCGTTCAGTATATCTGGCGACGTCACCATAATATTCGCTGGAGAAATATCTCGGTGTATAATGGGCCGATCCCTGCAAAACATTTTCCGAATGGCACGTACAGCAGAACGTAGAGCCTTTATACGCTCAAGTTCAGTAACACCTCGAGGATTGGGGTATTGATGTTGTGAAAGGCCACGCGGTGTGGTATCCACAGAAACGCCACAGTACTCTTCCAGGTACCATCGCTGTCTTCTCGCGTATAAAGGCTCATCGGCTGACTCGATAGCGGTCTCGTTCACTTCCGGCATGAACAAGCCCTTCTCAGCCTCTTTCTTCTGGGTCTGGTTGGCCATGACGGAGGATGTACTGTGTGTCACCTCCATATACCGATAGTTTGGTCCCATTTTGAGATATTGTCTGGAATGTCTTGCCTCCGGTAGAACGTCAAACGCGGTGGTTAAAGGTCCGTCTTTCCACTCAAAAAGCTTTGGTAGTTCCTCGATATCGCTAAGTTCACTAAGGATATCAGCTTCACTCGTGCGCGCCTCGTAGACCCAGGCCATTTTCAGCGCTGCAAGACCGTCATCTTCTGTAGGTGAGTTCTCTGTATCCTTTTTAGCCTGTGACTGTCTTGATTTTTTCTTTTTGGGCTTCGGTTTCTGCATTTTAACAGCCCATACCGTAGTGCCGCGTGTCGTGACCATGTCGACACCCACACGCACGAGTGGCGATGGTATCTTACATCCGGCAGGAGTGAAGCTGATGGCTCTTCGACCGATTGCAGAAGGTTCCTTTACTAAGCCCTGGGCGTCGTCACTGGCCAGCATGAGCCAGTTGACGAAGCGCAGAAAACCCAATGTATTCTGCTCGATATTAAGCCCACTTTCGTAACACAGCACCTGCCCTCTGTTCAGTTGATAGAGACGCAATGTCCTGCCGGCGACGTAGATGGAGTATATGAAGTGACGAAATGGGTCGTCTCGGAACACTTGGTTGCATCTCAAAAGAGAGAGTTGTATTTGGGATTGTGCATATGTCTGGTCGGCCGATTTCTTGAGTTCCCAGGTTGTCTTCATATCGCAAAACCTCACATTTTCCTTGTTGATATCGATGGCAATACTAGCTAAGTCGGGTTTGAAAAGCTTCAGGCCTTCCGCGTACTCCTCATTACTAATCCCGGACTTGGGCACCCTTGTTCCGATATTAATGAAGACGTTCTGAGCCTGTCGTGTCTTTGCCGTGGATTGTGCTTGAAGGACCTCTTGAGCTTTCTGAAGCATGCGGAAAAATATATTCTGAGAAATTATTCCCGAGCTCTTTGAGACCATATCCGACCGCCATTTCTTCCATTCGTTGGATGTCTTGAGTGTCTCCTCTGCCCTCTTAATTTGGGTTTCGGTGAACTTTGCGTTCTTGGACATCTTATTATGAAGTTTCTCAAAAATGGAGACCTTTGTGTCCTCCACGTGTGTCATGCAGCCAAGGTTAGAGATGAAAACGGGTAAGCGATGAGTTTGAGTATCGTTGTGGGGGACAGAATTTACTGCCTTCTGGGGCGTCTCATTGGGGACACTGCTTTTGGTTGTTGTCTTCTTAGGCGTCTGGGAGATAGGCACGACGCGTGATTCCTTCTCTGGCGAGGCCATATTCCCGTCAGGTGATAACCCTCCTCTTCGATGGAGGCTCTCTAGAGAGGCTTCAAGGGAAGGTATTACACGCGTTCGGCGGCGTTTTGAATGAGATATCGAGATCTCGATGCGAAGTTGGTCGGATTTCTGTCTGGATGCCATATTTAGCATTTGTCTTTGCAATTCAAAAGTTCGAGTCTTACCTATGGCCGCAGTTGGGGGTGTGGTGTGCCTTTTGTATGGTGCCAGACTAGTGAGACATGTTATCGGCAGTGGCGCGTTTGATTGATGTCCAAAGCTGCCGTTGCCTAGGCAACAAATATCGTAATGGATTTTTGTCACGGGACCAAATGCCAAGAATTACGTGCCAAGGGACTCCTGCGCCAGCTTGTTGCCGAAATCTCAACGACGAGTGCTCTAGAAATTCTCTGACTTCTTAATATAGCTACTTTGTAGCCTTTAAAATTAGATCGACCTAAAAACTTCGATTTTTCTACATTAATGTAAGGTAAAGAGAGTGGTGGGAAAAAGTTGCGTTTCATACGCTAAATGGTGCGACGTACCACTTTTGAAAGGGTGGACCATTACGCCAAAATAGCACATATTTGTCGAACTCGTGGTACAACTTGAGTTGAAGGAGTGCTCTGTTTTCTATCAAGTTGAGGTCCTGCCTGATAGACTGTGGAGTCTAGAGAAGGAATGTGTTGTTGTTCTATCTGAGAGAGCAAGACGAAAAGAAGGATGGGCGTAAGTTGCCAAGCCAAACAGCCTCACGTGACGTTGCCAAGGCAACGCGTCACGTGACTGGCCAACACTGCCTCGCATGTTTATATAGACAAAGATTGTCGCCATCTTTTGGTGTCTCCGTATTCAGCTCGTAGATGAAATCCTTGTCTAGCTGAATACCAATTGCCACGCTGAAAGTGTTGCCATATATTATCTCACAGGTCAACACAATACTATTGTCCAACAGCTCATAACTTCACTACCACGCAGGCACAGCAGACACACGAGGCTATTCGACAGCCACAGTGGGCCTGCCAAGACCGTTCGAAGGGCTTCTATCACACACACACACAAAGGAGGAGATATCTCTACAACACACACGCTTCGTCACGACAAAAATAATCAACACCAAAGCTCCCCTCCTATAGTCCATCACTGACGAACTGATAAATGGGGCGCCACAACCAATGAAAGCTTGAGCTAAACAAGTTCAATTCAAGAAAGGTTTGAATCAGTGACTTCTCTCGGTATCACTTAGTTTAACATCAACAATCACTGGCTGGAGCATTACGTTTACCCATCTAGGGCACCTAGAAATCTAGGCCGGACAACCCTCTTGCCTTACCTATGATCGAACACTAGTAAGGTCCCTCAATTCTATCGGTTCGACTAAAACCTAGTGTGCCCACTAGGTTTCGTCCTTGATAGGTCAACCACGATTTGGTGTCAATTTTGAAGCAGTTTTTGGCATTATAAAATATAAACTTGTTTTTTTCAATTTTGGAACCACCCGGTTGCAGCTTGGCGTTGTGTGGCGACACCAAGACCGTCATGCTAGCTGATCACGTAACGCGTGATCACGTGGAAGCTCCCCCTACAATAGATTAAACATTTTCCGGATCACCGCCGTCGGATTAAATATTTTCCGTGATCGCCGTCATCGGATCCAATCTGTGGACCATATGCCTCCCGGGGGGGTCTCCCACTCGGCGTGGTTTACAGATTGGATCCGATGAAATTCCCCCTCACCCGTCGGATCCAGCCTGTGGACCACCCAGGGAAGCTCTACTAATCACCCTCGAGATGCTTCGTAACCGAGCGTGAATGGACGAGCCTCGACGTTGAGATGATTCATGGATTGGATCCGACCGGGGGTCTTTCATCGGATCCAGTCTGTAGACCACCGACAAAGGCTCTACTAATCGCACTCGAGATGCTTCGTAACCGAGTGTGAACGGACAAGTCGCGATATCTGTTGTGATATGGGTATTGACTGACAAATAGATCATGGAAACATTCCGGTGCTTTGAAATCAAATAAATGCTCGGACAGGAAGATTTGAAGTATGTATATCTCCTCTTTGTCTTCATTGATAGAACTTGAAAAGAGATACGCTTCTGCTGCCTGAAACTTTCAACAATATCGAGATGATCTATGGATTAAATCTGATCATCTTGGGAAAAAAGTGAAGCTATCTATTGGACAATAGCATTGAACAAATGCTAGCCAATCATTTACAACAGACTAGGACATTTTGCAACACTCGCTCAATAAACTGTATCACCATTAACAGGGAACAATGGTGACGTACGCTCGTTAGATAGATATATAGATGGGCTCTATCTTACACTCATAAGGAGAGCCAGAGCACTCTTTCAATCTCAAGAAGTTTAACACATCTCATCTTGACTCTCTTCGCGCTACGTCTTGTATCTAGAACTCGATGCTAGCTTGAATATATTGATTATATCTTTAACCCCGAACATTCACAGCACCCTACTCCGGGGCAGAGTTGCTAACCGTTGTAAATTTTAAGCAGTGAAAGCATGTTATATTTTTTTAAACCTCTATCTATGAGGACGAAGAAAGGATACATATACTTCGAATCCTCTTCTCAGAACATTTATCTGATTTCAAAGCACCGGAACGTTTCCATGATCTATTTGTCAGTCACAACACTAACGACTAAGCTAGATTGGAAGATGTCAAACTTTTGGTACAATATGAGTTGAAGGAGTGCTCTGTTCTCTATCAAATTGAGGCCCTGCCTCGAATGTTTATATAGACAAAGATTGTCGCATGGAGTCCAGAACGATAACTCGGCCACCACACAAAGTGTTTGGTATCTTTATCTTTCCGCATAAATCCGATATTTTGAGGATATGGAATCATCCAGTGACTTCGAATGAATGACTTTCTGAGCTCTTATCGCTATATTCGAGTACGAGCTTGACCTCGAGCCGTCGTAACGGCGTAGTAGCTATGTCGAAAGAGTATTCGATATGGCTTGTGATCCCGTCCTTCTACTCCCACAACCATGAAAACAAATCATCAATGCTCTTCACCGCGAGTCGATGGCTATGCGCGAGCTGAGGCGGCCCAAAATCCTTAAGAGATTACGACATTGACCACGAAAGCGAAATCAGTGACCTTCCGATCATTCCTGCATCCTTCACTTCTCCCATCTGCTGCGATGAACTTAGCCAACAGCGTCCAGCATCCGCTAGCGCGCTCTGGATCGCCTCGCTCTAGCTCGTGTCACGAGTTTACCGCTTTGGTCTTCTTCGACTTCTTTATTCGCTTCTTCTCCTTCGGATTGCTCCTCTTCTTCTCCAGTTTCTTCTTCTTGGGCTTCTCCCTTTTTATCGTTTTCTTTCTTTTCTCTGGCTTTCTCCGCTCTTTGATACTTAGTCCAGATGTCCATACTAACATCCCTCAAAGAAATATAACGCTCTCGATGTCCAGGCCACGGTGAATGAGGCGGCTGTTGTATAACATCGTGCTTATCTGGGGTGATCCAGAGGAATTCTAGTTCAATATCAAACTTCGGTAGTTGCTCCTTGGCCCACTCGCGGTATTTTTGTAAGAATGTTGGACGAGACTTCGTGTGATTCTTTGCCACTGTGATCTGAATGGGGAAAATGAGCAATTTCGGCTTTTTCCCCTTAGCGGGTTTTTTGGGGGTCTTAATCAAGACAATCATTCCATCTATCGCCTTGTAATTAACCTGTCGGGGGCGATAAAGTACTGGCTGGTCGCGGATATCGAACTCAATGTCCTCTGGCTCCGTGAGGAATTTTAAGTCCATGCGCTTGTTACAGCCCTCGCAATCCTTTAAACCTTTTGATCGAATGGATGCCAAGACGGCGTATTCCACCATAAACTCGACGACAGATCGATTGTCAATAAAATGGCGTAATGAGGCCAGAAAGTTAATGTCGATATATGTATCATCCAACTCGAGAAGCTGATTTGCTACAGCGTCACGAACTAAACCGCAGGTATATTTTCCAATTTCCTTCGTATCGTGATAAAAGTACCGATGGTCGATCAGTTCGATGTGTCCCGTCCATCCACGTGGTACACGCCGGTTACGAATGCAACCCCTTGCGTACTTGCAATACCTGAAAAGTCAGAAATGTACTAAGCATCAAATCGGTCGAATATACGAACATACCACTCCCAATCAAACTTCGTAACAGTGGACTTGAATCGCTGTACAAACGCCATAGCTTCGTTAGAGATTTCGATCAATTTAGGGGCCGTTAAATCAAACTTCCTATTCACTATGCATTGGTTTAAGAGCAATGGGATGCAGCCTGTAACGTCTTCAACCTTATTCCGGGAATACTCTCCCAATTTAATATCTTGATGCTGCTTCCACCACTGCTCCATTTCCGTCTAACAAAGTTAGAAACCTCGTTATGACACAAATTTGACGCCACTTACCTCACTGAAACCGCCATAGACGTGTACCACATGGCACGAAGTCTGATGTTCGAACACCTCGAAGTTCGTCGTACAATTGGCAGAGAAACTGAGAACTGCTTTATGGAAAGAAGCGAAACGGATCACCCAGTTATATAACGTTAGGGCCATCTTCCTATTTGGAATGCTGTCACTCATTAAAGCATCCATCTGATCAACGACAAATATGACGTTTTCTTGATACTCGAAGAATTCCTCGATCTGGACTTCAGTGCGTAGAGCTATAATCTTCTTCTGGGTGGTGAAATCGCTGGCCCAGGCGAATAGCATTGCTGATTTGACGTAGGAAACAGGGTCATCGAGCAGGCATCGGCAATCCGGTAGATAGACGACTCGTTCATCTTGAGCAGCAAAGTAGCAGACGAGGGCGGCTAGAAGGTGAGACTTCCCAAAGCCATGGGTTCCATAGAGCCAACATCTTCGGTAAACCTGACTCTTTCGCACTTCCTTTACCTCATGGAGAAAGTCTTTGAACATCGTTCTCCCCATATATAGCCACTTTCCTTCAGCTATATCGGGCTCTTTAAATCGTTCTGGCATCGTGCCGACAAACGGAAAGTCGAGTATGTGATTTAATGTGGGGTCGGAAAGTTTATCGACAGCTCCAGGAAGAGGATCGACGGAATCAGAATGCTGATCAGGAGCGTCGTTCACTTGTATAAACATATTCTTGATGGCCTGTCTTCGCTTACTCGCTGCGATGGCTATTCGCGTCAGCCCATCTTCATGTTGACGTCTTTTTGACGAAATGGGCGACTCTTCAGATGAATCTGTTTCATCCCCTGTGACGATACTAGCTAGCTGTCGTATAGTACATTAAAGGTGTAATTACATTTCCTCTTTTGATCGGCTGTCTGGTTCGGTTGATCGTCTTGACACTGTTAGCTAGTGTTTAAGTTGTATCCATAGTCTGCTCTTACTCTGTTTGCTGACTTTACTTGCAAGAGATGCAAGAGTCCAATAGACTCCAAGAGGCAGACGAGTTTCTCTAAAGAAGCCTAGATCCTCAGCATAATTCAAGAAGGTAGAGCCCCTGATTTTTGCCGCTTTGAATGTCAAAACGTCCTCGTCATCGCAGAAAATGTTTGGTTGTGTTCGCTGGATCCATTCGAGCAATTGCTCATAGTTCCAACTTTTCATCTCTTGAATTGTAGGGATTCTCTTCGGGCCTTGCCCAGCTTCCTGATTAGAAGCGTTCATTATAATCGACGTGAAGAAGGTCAAGCGACGGAGACGGTATAATATAATGACTCGCACGTAGGATATGGAAAGTTCAAACTCGCTCAAGATAAGCGCACACGAACTGCCGTGGGACAAGTGATCGCGATGGTAGAGGCAAGAGTCTTCGATCTGATTGTGGGGGTAGAGGAAGCAACAAGTATGGTATGCACGATAGAGAACTTGTCGGTGACAACGAGGATGATGGACAAACATGGGGAGAAGATTGAGTAGTTTATGTAGAAAAGTGTCAGGCTCCAGGCCACGTGACTGTATCATTCTGTAAGGTTGGTCCTCAGTCTGCTGGTGCTTTCTCCTGTCTGCGTGTGCCTATTTCGACGACTCATTGAACAAGTATATAGAGAACCTAGATAGCAGGACCTCCTACAGAAAGACAGAGCCCTCAATACGACACATTGTGCATCACCTAGTTACCAGTCGGCTATATGATAGCATCCAAGCCGAGTTCCAGAAGACACCGGGCGATCTATCTACGATCCAACTATATTGTAGGGTATAGTCCAGACTGTGCTTGCCCCATCCCTGTATTGCAGCCTGCTATGACCTACGGCAACGCAGGCAGACATGGCGCTGCCTAGAGTAACAGCTGTTGTCAAACTTTCTTGTGCAACTAGAGATGAAGGAGTGCTCTGTTCCCTATCTACTTGTCGAGGCCCTGGGGCTCCTTTTATAGATATGCGAATGCTACATTGTTGGACAGAGCAACCATCTGTGACGTCGTCGTCTATGGAAACCTCTCGTCTCTATCCAACAGCTGTGTATATAAATCACTCATTCATCCTTAGATAGTCTCAAGCAGGCTTACAAATAAATAAATCAATCAAATCGAGCCTCGAATTTAGGATTAATTTAATTTGATTTAATTTAAATTGATTTAGATCTCATTTGGATGTTTAGATAGCCCCTCTTTTTCCAAAGGTAATCGGATCCAATCCATGAATCATCTCGATATCGCGGCTTGTCCGTTCACGCTCGGTTACGAAGCATCTCGAGTGCGATTAGAAGAGCGTGTGTGGGTAGTCCACAGACTGGATCCGATAAGAGACCCCCTCCGTCGGATCCAATTTCTGCATCTATTATCTCAACATTGGTCCGCATACTGGATCCGATACGTGGTCCATCTCGACATCGACTTCTATCGAGTAGGGTGCCCTCCCGGCCACGTGGTCCACGGATTGGATCCGATGACGGTGAGACAAGAGATATGATTTTACGGAGGACTTGTCCTATTTCGAAGGGTCCAGGGGACCGTCAGACTATATACTTTCGAAGCGTACAACACTTCCGAAGGTCTTTATAAGCTTTGGCGTCGCCACATGTCACAGCATCGCTATCGGATCCAGTCCGTGAACTACTCAGCCCCCAACGAATCAAACATTTTCCGGATCACCACAATCGGATCCAGCCTGTGGACCACTCACACAAGCTCTACTAATCACACTCGATATGCTTCGTAACCGAGCATGAATGGACGATCCTCGATATCGAGATGATCCATGAATTGGATCCGATGAGTCGTGATATTTCATCGGATCCAATCCGTGGACCACTAGACAAACCCTACTGTTGAACATGGGGCTATAATGTACAGGCTCTGCCATTGAAACTGTTAAACTGGGTGTAACTCAAGATGTATTGAATGCTCTGTTCTCTATCTACTTGTCGAGGTATTGAGGCTTCTTTTATAGACATGCGAATACTACGTCGTTACACAGAGCAACCATCAGTAACGTCGTCGTCTATGGAAACCTCTCACCAGTGTTTCAGCTGTGGAGCCTGTACACAATAGCCCTTTGTTCAACAGAAACACTGGTGGGAGGTTTCCATAGACAACGACGTTTACTGGCGGTTACTCTGCGCGACGACGAGGTATTCACAGGTCTATGAAGAAACCTTCAGCTCAAGTTGCACAAGGAAGTTTGACATAGAGCTTGTCTGGGTGGTTCACGGATTGGATTCGACGAAATATGTCACGGGACCACGTGCCAAGGATTACGTATTCAGAGGTTCTTCAGCTGTTATGTTGGATAGAGACGAGAGGTTTCCATAGGCGACGACGTTACAGATGGTTGCTTTGTGTAACGATGTAGCATTCTTGTGCCTATAAAAGGAGCCCCAGGACCTCGACAAGTAGATAGGGAACGGAGCGCTCCTTCATCTCAAGAAGTTTGACGGACTTCAAATACACAGTTACTCGTCTAGGCTGCCGTAGGCAGCTGCAGACAGCTGTAGGCAGCCGCAGGCTATAGCACAGGCATGAGTACAGTCTGGATAATGTCAACGGTGTTGGCTAATTACGTAATATGCTTTCTTGATATTAGTACGTGGGGAAGTTGGCTTGGCACTAACTTATAGAGAGCACGTGTGAAATATGCCAAGTCGCTAGTAACTGGGAATAAAAGCGGCCTTCGGCACGCCCTCACTTAGTTAGCTACCAATAGTTTCCCTCGTTATTTTAACATTACTACTAGTTGCAATTCCTTGAACATAATCGCGAGGCCCCGAGGCTGTAGACTTAGGGCTGCGCTCCCTATGGTCCTTCCTGCGACGCTTCCTGAAACAATACGTCTTCTTCTATATTGTTGAGAAACACAACGATCGCTTCTCTACGATTACTGAAAGCTCACGATACTGGGCGAGAGGACGGTTTCCCCCTCTCAAAGCGTCGCTACCTCCGGAACAAACATAGTCGGCGACGTCGGTCAATTATTCGAAAACCGAACAGCACTCGGATCTAGTCGTGGCTCGTCAAAACCGAAGTGACGTTACCGAGTTGTCGGTAACCGATTTAAATCGCCGAAGTGGAGACGCCTCTAGTCGCTCCAATAATTATAGGCCGAGGTACATAAAGGAAGTGGCGCCTCTATAAACCCAAGTATTCGACCCACCTCTCATCGCTCCTTATAGTTACGGCCTATTACATCCTATTACCTTCTAGTCGTGGGGGACTCTCAAGCTTTTGACTAGAACTATATCCTTCAAGCATTAGCGGAAGGTCAACGATCTACCCACGACGTTATCGCTCAACTTGCACCGAGGTTACAAGGCCTCGCAACGCAGTCTAACCCCGCGAACGTTAACACCCGTGGTGGAGGCCCTAAACCAAAGGAGCCTAAGAGTTACGATGGAGACCGCTCTGATGGCAAAATTGACGATCATTTACGGGACCTTGCTAACGGGGTCACCTTTTACGAGGCTCGCAACCAATGGGCAAGTGAACAGGGGAAAGTTCGACAATGCTCTTCCTTCCTTACGGGGCGAATGCATCGGCTCTTCTCCCACCGAATCCACTCATTTGCGGATTATTGCGCTTGGTTACGATGCACTTTCCGAGATCCGAACGAACAACTCCACCTAAAAGAAACATGGAATGCCACCGTTTAGGGAGGACGCGATGTTCACGATTATGCTGCCGACCTCATTTACTTAGACTTACTACAGCAGAAAGGGACGGAAAGCTTTGTCTACAATATACGAAAGGGTACAGCAGATCCAGCAGTGAACCTTTAGAATAACTCCAGGTTCCCTACCTCCTGTCGTACGAAGCGATCCTTGCATTCAAGAGCTTCTTCGGAACTTTTCCTTCGTATTTTGAGGGGAATTGCCTGCGGAACTCCCGCCTACGAGGGATTACGAATATACAATCGACACAGAAGACGCCACCCCAATCAATATTAATACGTACCCCTTATCGCTAATTCACATTAAATAACAGTCACGTCAGATTCGACGAATGCTTCAACAAGGGTTGATACAGGAATCTACGAGCTCTTGGGGCTTTCCCGTTCCTCTTCGTGAAGAAACCCGGCAGGAAATGGCGAGTGTGTATCGATTTTAGAGTGTTAAACGCGGTTACAAGGAAAAACGGTACACCACTGCCATGAATTCAGGAATGCTTCCTTCTTATTAAACAGGCCCCTTTCTAACAAAGTTGGATCTTACGCAAGGATACTATCAAATACGAATCGCAGCGAACGATCGGGAAAAGGCAGCCTTCAATACGAGAGAAGGAAAATTCGAATAGGTCGGAATGCCTTTCGGGCTCACTAATGCTCCGGCGACTTTCTAGACCTATGTGCGTGTCTACCTGGCCCTATCCATAAGGCCCTCTAACGTGCCGTCTCCCCTTGTAACGGCATGAACGAATATTGAATTTTTTCAACCTTTTTTATATAATTGGATAGAGCATGTCGAAGTGAATCGACTTAGAGCATTTATATCAATATCAGTTTAATATTCAAGCGACAAATCTAGATAGAAGTTGGGGGTTCTGGAGATGTCAAACTTCTTGTGCAACTTGAGATGAAGGAGTGCTCTGTTCTCTATCTACTTGTCGAGGCCCTGAGGCTCCTTTTATAGGCATGCGAAGGCTACATCGTTGCACAGAGCAACCGTCTATAACGTCGTCTTCTATGTAAACCTCTCGTCTCTATCCAACACTCTACTAATCGCACTCGAGATGTATCGTAACCGAGCGTGAATGACAAGCCTCGCTGTCGAGATGATTTATGGACTGGATTCGATGGGTCGTGGTATTTCATCGGATCCAATCTGTGGACCACCCACGTAAGCTCTACTCGACATACCTTGTAACCGAGCGTGAACGACAAGCCTCGGCGTCGACATGATCCACAGATTAAATCCGATGAGTCGTGGCATTTCATCGAATCCAATTCGTGGACCATCTAGACAAGCCTTACTAGATTCCACTCGAGATCGCTTGTGTAGAGTGCTAATGGACGAGCCTCGATATCCATATAGTCCATAATTAGATTCAATCACCATGATCTTTCGTCGAACTCGATCTATGGTCCCGATGGCTAAGGGGGCACTCTACTCGATGAATGTCCGTCTCTTCGATATCGATATAATCCATGTATTCGATCTGATGAAAGATCAACGCCATCGGATCCAGTCTGTAGACCACCTAGACGGGCTATAATATCAAATCCAGTCCATGAACTACCTTCTTCTGGTCCACTTCAACGTAATCTTCTCGAGTTAAAACACTAGAAGAGACAAGATTTGATGGGAATAACTTCCTGTAGATTTCATCATACTTAAATAAGGGAAGAGGAAGTAGAGCGAGATATCTTCGAAACCCGCTAAACGACCGAAAGTGTAATGCGGAATCTGATGAACTGGCCCACGAACTCGATGCAAGTGACCAGCTTCGTCGAAATACGAAACTCGGCGTGGATGAAGATGAAGACTGGACTGAAGGTCGGAGATCGGCATTTAAGTCGGATGCCATCGAATGCCCGCTTTGGCCACGGCCAGATCGCTCGAGAATCCCGTGACGTTGTCTTCGTCGAAATGAATCCCCGCAGAACTCGACACTCGTTCATCAGCCTCGAGGCATAGGTGAGGCGGCTCGTGTACCGAGTCGTCCGAAACGAGACCGGAGAACATCTCTCGTCGTGTTCTCGCATCGACTTTGTGCACTAAATCATCTTGACGTGTCGCTATTCGTGTTGATCCGAGAATATCAGGACATCGATCGACCATCGCGTCGAGATACTCGGCGAGACTGACATGCTTCTCGAATTGTATTTGATGTTCCTCCTTTTTCTGAGCATGACAATCGACGCAACAGTCTGGAAATGCCGCGAGTGAACCCGCTAATCGTCGAGTAATATATTCCACTCAATTAAGGTGAACGGCGACATCGTCATTAGTCGCCCTCTCGTGCGACTGCACTACCGTCACCGTGTCATCTTCTTTAGGTGGATGGGTGGAAGCAGTATACTCGAAGACGGGGATCGACTCGAGTATGAAATGAAGGCGTTCGTGCGGAAGAATCGTCGTTGTTAGGTATCTCAGTATTAACCGTTACAGGATCGAGTGGAGGACTTGGTGGAAAACTAGGAGGTGAAGGGCTCGAAGGTGGAAGGTGTCGTGAGAGGTTTATATCATCGAAACTGTTATGGTCATGTAATGTAATCGATGTCGAAGGAAGACTTGTTGTAGTTAGAAGAGGGAGATCGGTGGAAGTAGATTCATGAGATAGCGGAGGGGAAGAGGAAACAAATGGCACGCAGCCCTGTTTGATCGTATCGTTGCGCACGTTGTTCAGCACCCCCTTGCTGTGGTTTAGCGCACGTAGTAATATGTTAACATTTCCACAAGGGACTTAGCTAATTTTAGTTAACTCCAAAACTCGAGATAATTATCGAAAAGGGTTTAGCCTTTGACTCCGAAAATTCCCGCCGACGACAAGATCGATAAATTTAACGACGACTAGCATCACCAGCACGCAATATATTGCTTCAAAACCTATACGATCCTTTAGCTAATGCCTTCGAGAAACGTCTGTCTTAACTTGGGCGTTAAATCTCTTCGTCTCGACACTAGATCTAGTCTCAATATCCGTGCAGTAAGGGCCTCGGCTTGTCTCGGCTCGTTGAGAAGCCTGCAGGCGCCGCAGCTGCCAGGTCTCCCCGCGCCGAAGATCTGGATCGGCTGTATTTCCTTTCGGGATACTTTTCCAGAGGGCCTGCACACGTCCGGATATGCACACCGAGGGTCTTTCACATCGAGTACGTAAGTAGCTCGAGATAATTCTCCAGCCTCGATCATGCCACTACTTGTTTGGGGAGTGATTAAACCGTCCAGAAGATGCAGATCACCGTGGCAGACGTTCCTCTCGGCCGGAGATTGAGGAGACTCACTGTTTAAGGCAGAGACTAGAATCTAACCAAGGTAGAGATATAAGACAGTTCTATCCTTCTTCTTGAGAGTCTATCACTTCCAGCTCTTTTTCCTCCCATGAGATAACCATTCAAGGCACAAACTGATAAGGATGATGGCCAAGAGCGATTTCAAGGTGGTGATTGCCGGTGGCAGCATCACAGGCCTCACTCTGGCCAACATGCTGCAACTCTACAATATCGACTTTGTTGTTCTTGAATCGTATCCGGATATAGCACCTCAAGTGGGGGCAAGTATCGGGATACTGCCACACGGCAACAGAATATTGGACCAGCTTGGTCTGTATCAGAAGATTCTGGCCTTATACCCTCCCTTAGACTCGTTCCACTTCCGTGATCAGACAGGCAACATCATATGTGAATTTCGAGGCATGAACGAGTCGATGCATCAGAGATGAGCTTGCGTGATAAACGAACAGGTTCCACATCTAACAATATCTAGTCACGGCTATCCGATCACATTTTTGGATCGCCAGATGGTCCTTCAGGTATTGTACGATGGAATCAAGGACAAGACGAAGGTCCTCACTAAGAAACAAGTCCAAAAAGTCGAGCTTACTGAGGATGGAGTGATGGTGAAAACCTCGGACAACTCGACCTATCATGGTGATATCCTGGTGGGGGCAGATGGCATTCATTCCACTGTAAGAGGAGAAATGTGGAGGATAGCAAGTGAAACACGCCCCGGGTGGATTCCATCCGATGAACATTCTTGTGAGTTTGACTATCCCTGCATTGGCCCGAACTGATTTGGATAAGGCGTCCCTTGCGATTATGGATGCATCTTCGGAATTTCAAACCCTTGCGAGGGTATTGAACCAGGAGCTTCAAACTCGGTATTTAGAAAGCACGAATTCTATATAGTTAATGGAGGCCCTGAGGGTCGTGTGTATTGGTTCTATTTCTACAAGCTGGTCCAGCGAGCCTACGGCGACGATATTCCGGTTTATACAAAGGAAGATGAGAAAAATCTACTGGCCATGCGAGCAAATGACAACATTACTCCGACGTTGAAATTCAAAACGCTCGTGGAACGGAAGATCTCGTTGGCTTTGGTGCCACTGCAAGAATATGTCTTCAGACAGTGGTACTTCAAGCGTATCATCACCATTGGCGATGCCGCTCATAAGGTATGGATGTGCAACATCTGAGCCCCGGCTTATGCTGACAATCCAGTTCCATCCAATCGCAGGTCATGGCGGAAATGCTGCTATTGAGTCAGCGGCTGCTCTTGTTAACGCCATTCGCGACGTAGCCAACAAGTCGCGAGGTGAAAAGCCAACGTTGGAACAGATCGAGCGCGCGTTTGCCACGACTCGGGCAATCCGACAAGCAAGAGCCGTCACTCTTACATGCTATTCGCACGAACAGCAGCGAACAGAGCTACTCGACACGCAGCTTCATGAATTCGCGGCGTTCTACTTGTTGCCAATGACGGACACTGAAGACGTTACCTTCAATTTTTCCCGCAACATGCCGCTTGCTGAAAAGCTGAACACCCCCAAGTTGACACCAGTTCCAAGGCTCGTGCCTTACAAGGACGAACTTCTGAGTGCCCCAGTCCCTCGAGGCATTAAGAAGTGGTACTTCATCGGATTCTATCTAACAATTGCCGCACTAGTTCACTATGGTATGTGGATTTGGTCTGTTCATTATGGCCTCGGCGCCCACATTGAAGCCATTTTGAAAACTGGAAAATTCTCGTACGACCCGAGTTTTCCCCTCAAGCACAATTATATCGGCATCGCGCCCATCGACAACTATCTTGTATTCCTAGCAGCAGCGTACATGCCAGGCTTGAATAACTGGGACCCGAATTTCAGCACTTTGCAGATGTACTTTCTCGGAATGCTCGTTCAGTCGATCACAGTGTGGTCTGTCGAGGCATATCGGAAGCGCAATGCGCTGACACTAGTAGCCTTGTAAGTATTGATTCAAAAACCCTCTTGTTTGGCTACCTGACTCACCTTGTTTGCCAGAATAACTATCTGGTTTACACTTGTTTAATGGGCCGGCGTCGGAATCTGCATGCCAATCTACTATGCTGCCTACACATACGTCTCTAAGCCTGAAACGTATTGGTGGCCGCTCAATCGAGAGGTTCCCATTCAATTCGCTAACTCCTTAATGCGGGCGGTCATGATTGGCTTCACCTTACCGACAATACTTATATTTATACCCTGGAAGGACCCGTATACAATCCAAGCATTCGAGTCATTGTGGCAACCATCGCCAATGTTTGTTCCGTTTATCTGCAGCGTTCTGGGGTATGTCTATGTCAAAAGACACAATCTCAAGCAGGTCTCTGGAAAAGCCGCAGACCCCTTCCCGGACGTGCCGATTCTTCAGAACCTCTACATTGTTAGCGGTATACTGAGTGTATTGTTACATATCTATTCCCTTGCTAAAATTGTATCTTCGCCCAACCTGAGCTTGATGTCCGTCTTCTGGCCCGACTTTACCGCGCAGCCAAAGGCATTTGGCGAGGGACTCCGAGCTCTCTTCTTGGCAGACTTCTGGGGCTTCTATGCTGCCATGTATGGCTGGCTATGTATGGCAGCCTAAGATTTGAAGCGAATGGGTCGAACATTCGTCGATACGAGAAAGGCCTCCGCTCTCATCGCGATAGGCAGTCTCACTATTGGTCCTGGCGCTACTATGTCGACGGTTTGGTACTGGAGAGAAAATCTTCTGGCGAAGACAACTTTCGCTCGAGGTTTGACATGATTGTTGTAATATAAGGCCTTGACTGATAAAATCAACCATGGAAACATTCCGATGTTTGATAATCAGAGTAGAAGGATCTGAATTATATTTCTCTCTCTCTGCCCTGATAGAATAACTACAATCAATTCAATGCTTCCACTGCCTGAAGTTGACAACAATGATTACAAGGACAGTTTAGCGAGCAGCCCATCGTCGGCGTCAACCCTTTGCTCGAATGTTGTCAGGGTGGAGACGTACTATATAGAACGAGGATGGAGATCTGACAATGATATTACTATCTAATACACTATAAAGCACAAGACGAGAGACAAACAACATGAAAGCAGTACGATGCTATCCTAGATACTTATAGCCTTATGGCGTAGTCATGCCACAAGGCTCCCACGCAGGCACCTAGCAGGCCTCGATTATAACAACGATACCAACGAAGGGTAAGGATCTGTTACTAGGGGTATAAGGAGAGGGATCATAAATCGTTGTGGGTGCACAAGGTAGGGTGTGGAATAGTAATGTACCGAAACCTGTCTATTTATCTAAGGCTCTTCATTTTCGGCGTCCAGGCTCCTTCCTGACACTTCTGCGATGGCTGGGAATTCGTGCGTGATATTTGGGTCTTACATCGCACCATCTTGTAGTTGCTGTTTGAAGGTGTCAAACTGGGTGCAACTCGAGATGTATTGAATGCTCTGGGCTCCTCAAATGAGTGTGAGATAGAGCCCATCTATATATCTATCTACGAGGTGTACACTGGCGCTGTTGCCTGTCAATGGGAAAGCGTCGTACTGTTTCCGGTCGTTGGCACTATTCATACTGTGGCGGGGCGCTACGTGCATGGATTAATTATGTAAGGGCTAAGCAAATATGGTTTCTTGGTAGTTTTTAAAAAAAGGAGATACATGTAGAAAGAAAAGAGACAGCGCATAGAGGAATGAAGTAATTGGAGCTTTGTGCGTGGTTGCTTAACGACTTTGACGACGACCTCCTTTCTGCATGACAGGCACTCAAGTGCTAAACCGTTCATCACCTTTACAATACAACTTCGAGTCTGTCGCGCTAATACTATAAAGGGTACTATTGAGACGACTTTTCCCCGTACATAGCTGCGCCACGATCTAAGCTTCTTCGCGTTTCAGACCGTACATAGATTCGTCGTGTGTACGTGCCTGGTAAAGCGCGATCTAACTACTTCACGTATTAACCCTCGTAGCCAGTTTCGAACCAGCTTTACCATAGTAGTTAAAAGAATGTCTCAATCTAGTTCTGTCGCTTTCTGCGTGTGCTTATGTGTTAATTCGCTGCCTAGGTATCTCTATGTCTATGGACCCGCGAAACACCATCCGTGATGCCCAACGCTAGGAGAACCGCTGAAGTCGCAATAAGATGTCTCGCACGATCGCTTGTCCACTCTGTTGTCGCGGTTTCGCTAGCACACGAAGCGCGGACTGACTGTTTGTCAAACTTCTTATACAAATTGAATTGAAGGAGTGCTCTGTTTTCTATCAAATTGAGGTCATGGCTTACGTATATATATATATATAGAAAGATTGTTGCCACCTTTCGGTGTCTCCGTGCTCAGCTCCATAGATGAGATCCTTGCATAGCTGAGAATGTCGCTACACATCGTTCAACACTGTTGCCAAATATGGCCACTGCCTTTTTGGGGTAAATGTCGTGACCTAGCCATAGCGCGTCCACAAACTGGCATGCTTCCCGAATAGCCACCAGTTCACCGTGATATACACTTAACGTCGAGGGCGATCCCATGGTTCTGTTGATCATATTAGGTGCTGTCGATGATAAATGCGCCACCCCGATACCAACTCTTCCCTGTCGACACGACGCATCCGTGAACATGGTGTGCTCTAGACTCGCTCGACTCGCCAGCTCCTCCACTTTTTCTCATTCGTGAAAATAGATACGAGATCGTGGTTGCCAGGGCGCCACGCCGAATGGTTCGACACACTTCAGGCGAGCGGTATCTAGTTTCAGGGCTTCCGATGTTCGTCGTAGTGGCGATACGAAGCGTGATTGACTTTGTTCAACGGACTTTCTGATCCTCCAGAATAGGTGTGTTACGGCACAACCAGGCAGGGTCATCGAGGTCTGCCAGGTACCTATTCGTTGACTATTGGTGCCTGCTATGGACCCACTGTGGCTGTCGATAGCCTTGTATGCCTGCGCGGGAGCCTTGTGGCGCGACTACACCACAAGGCTATGAGTATCTAGGATAGCCTCGCACTGCTTTCATGTTGTTTGTCTCTCGTCTTGTACTTCATACTGCATTGGATAGTAATATCATTGTCAGATCTTCATCCTCATACGTCTCCGCCCTGACAGATCCGATACATGGATCATATCGATATCGAAGAGGTCGATATTTATCTAGTAGGGTGCCCCCCCGGCTACATGGTTCATGGATCGGATCCGATGAAAGATCACAGTCATTAGATCCAATCCGTGGATCATCGCGATATTGAGGTTCGTCCGTTAACGCTCGGTTACGAGCCATGTCGCGTATGATCAGTATGGCTTGTCTAGGTGGTCCACGGATTGGATCCGATGAAATATCACGACCCATCGGATCCAATCCATGGATCATATCGACGTCGAGGCTTGTCCGTTCACGCTTAGTTACGAAGCATATCGAGTGTGATTAGGAGAGCCTGTCTATGTGGTTCACAGATTGGATCCGATGAAATACCACAACCCATCGGATCCAATCCAAGGATCATGTCGATGCTGAAGCTCGTCCGTTCACTCTCGGTTACGAAGCTGTTGAACAAATGGTAACCTATCGATTATGGTAAACCAAACCATTCTGTAACATACACCTCCTGGTGTCCAACACCACTAGCAGGCAACAGCGCCAGCATACACCTCGTAGATATATAGATGGGCTCTATCTCACACTCATTTGAGGAGCTGTTGAACAAAGGGCTATTGTGTATAGGCTTTACAGCTGAAACACTGGTGAGAGGTTTCCATAGACGACGACTTTGCTGATGGTTGCTCTGAGTAACGACGTAGTATCCGCACGTCTATAAAAGAAGCCTCAATGCCTCGACAAGTAGATAGAGAACAGAGTATTCGAGACATCTCGAGTTGCACCCAGTTTGACACTACCCCTCTTCTTAAAAGTCGATTGCTCGAGTATGGTAGTAACAATGTTCTAAGACCGTCCTAACATACTATTTAAGCCGCACTTTATAGACATAGAATAACGATACCCTGATGCCCCTAATTGTTTACGCAGGTTATCTCTAAAGCATTGGGCCCGACTGCACATTGCTGCTACTAGGGGCCCGGATGCCCTCTATCCTCTGTGACACCCAAATATCACGCCACGAATTCCCAGCCATCACAGAGGTAAGGGGGCTCGAAAGGTATAAGAAGAGCCTTCGAATCCCTAGATAGATAGACAGGTTTCAGTATATTGCCATTCCACACCCTACCTTGTGTACTCGCAACGATTTATGATCCCTCTCCCTACACCCTTCGTTAGTATCGTTGTTACATCCTCGTTTGGCACTCTGATAGCAATCTCTAGAATGAGTTCGAATTAAGGAATTGAGTGCTATGGGCATGACGTATCCAGATCTTCAGGCCTGCTCCTGTGCCCGTCGGCGCTTTCTCCCTTCCGCTCAAGTTCGAGCCTCGAAAAGTTGTCGTTCTTCCGTCCTCGATGTCGTCTCTGCTGCTCGTCGATACGAGCAATTCTCTCGTCATACCATTGGATGATATTGTGGAGATCTTCGTTGACTCAGATCTCTCCGCCACGCTCCCCGTCTTCGTCGGCGAGCATCAGCATCAATGTTTACTGCATGTTGAATCCTGACCGTGATGTCAGCGTCACTGCCAACATATGTACTCGCTAATATGGACCAACGCGAGCTTATTGACAGATGTGAGAGCTTCGCCGGTTCATGATAATGCTCATTATCCCTCTTCTCCTCACGCTGGCGTACCAGTAGTTCATGTGTCTTCCCTGAGCAGCTACAGCAATCCCACATACTCATGGCGACCTTCCAATGCCCATTGCCGTGCGTTGCCGTAGTATCCTCGTTGAGGATTAACATCTGCCCCGACATTCGCCAGCATCTTCACCACCTCACGTCTTCCCAAGTTTTCTCGGGTTTGTTCACCACAATATCCCCCAAGCAAATGTCGATTCCCTTGGAGAGGTCATGAATGCCGCTACCAACGCTAACCATCAGGTCTATTCGGAGCCAGGGAACGTGCTTGCCATGTCCTTTGCCACATTGGCTGCAAGAACTAACCCATGCACCCCCTTTTGGCATACAACCAATCACCACATTATGCTGGTGGATGAGACCCAACACGTAGCTGCCATGACCATGTGAATCTTGTCCTGCTATCATCTCATGTTCTTCATCCAGAATAAACATGGCGGCGGCCAATTCCTTGTTCAGCGCGCATATCCAGCCAATCATTTATGACAGGCTAGGATATTTTGCAACACTCGCTCAATAGGCTATATCACCATTGACAGGCAGCAATGGTGACGTACGCTCGTTAGATAGACATGGGCTCTATCCTACACTCATTAGGAGAGCCAGAGCACTCTTTCAATTCACGAAGTATGACAAGATGTCGCAGGTGGAGCAACCGCAGGCAGAATCAGGTCAGGCTTTCAGTGTACAGTGAGTTCTCAAACTTTGAGAGGTTGACGGGGCTGCAGGGGAGTCCTAAACAAGCGTGCAATGGTTCGTCTAAAATTAGAGAGGGAGCGTGCGAGAACAAGAAGAGGAGATGCGGCTAAGGGTAGATACGGAGCTTGCAGATACGGCGATCGGGCTAACGGTGATAATCGAGCGCGA